TGTACTGTCATACCTCACCTTACTACAAGAGTGGGTTCCCCCATTACATAGTATTGTGGGACCTGCGTACTTTAAAAAAAAAAAGCACTAAAATAACTATTTACTTTATCACAACAATTAATATTTCACTGAACCAGACATGCTAATTTATCACTGATATGTAATTGGTCTGAAGTACAATAAAAATAAGTCACTGAACAAAATATTTTTAAACTAAATAATAAGATGCTGTAACATGATGGGTCTCTAATATTGAATATCCACCTTGGCTGTAAACAGGAGCTTTGTTATGGAGTCAGTGTTGTTTTATTGAGGAAAGGAGGAGATATGCATTGAAATCTTATAATTTAAGATACCACAATGTCATCCATGGCTCTATGAAACATAAAGCTAAATACCTGCCTCACATGTACAATCTGAGAATCAAACATGATGTAATCACTGTTTGGTAACAAATATTGACAATGATCTGCCATCTGTACTAACAAAGATAATCACTGAACGGAGATGGTCTCCAAGCTTCGCTGCTTCTCTCTGCAGTGAACCACAGAACAAAGCAGCTCTAAGTACTTCAAAAGCCTTTAAGATTCACCTGCAGTTACACACATCAAGATGTTTTCTGAGGCAAATTATATGCTGATAATATAACATAATCTCCTAGTTTAGGATAAAACTAAAATTTCTGTTCTTCATTGTTGTTTCATATCTTTTTGCAATCAATCTACCATTTCTTTGAAGGTGCCGGACATTCCACCAACTTTCTGGATTTTCTTCAACAAAGGTGGATTTTCAAGAGTGACTGTTTTGAAAATCATAAGCTCATGAGTCTTCATTTTCTGTTTACCCATCGAACAGCAAACAGAATGAAAACTTCCAGCTGATTATTTTCCTTTTAAAGCAAAATATATGCTAAAATATATTTAAATTAAATGTGTATTTATAAGCTATAAAACATATTGTACAACGTATTAGTCTGCTAATGTGTGATCAATTTAAGCTAATGGGACCAGGGTCCAAAAGAAAATTGGCTGGGCAAATAATGATTAATTTTAGAAAGAACAGCAGCAGCTACCATTATTAGAGGCATTTATTCATGATCCCATTTGATCTTCACCAAATTCTGTAACATAGGCATTATTTTTACATTTTAAATACTAGACAAGTGAAGTTCAATGAAGTTAAGTGATTTGCCAATAACTGCACATCTATTAAGTAAAGCCTGGATTCAGTCCCACAGCTGCACTCTTTTCGTACCAGATACAAAATAAGAATTTTCATGTTCATAATATAAGGTATTCGATATTCATAAGAACTCTAGAAATACGATGATATTGTTTCAATTTTATAAATGGGGGGAAAATGAACCCCAGAGAGCTTAGGAAACTTGCCCAGGGTCATATATTTGGAAAATGGCCCCAAAGCACTGATGCAAGAATGAACTTAGAACAGGAAAATCTATTGGATTATAAGAAAAAGCGACTTGGGAGCATAAAAGACTTATTAAAAAAAGCACCAAAACTCTTATAGTAAGGACATCACTATAAGATGATGTGATGTGTCTGTCTAGCATCCTATCTCCCATCATCTGTTATCAAAATCCCTTTTCCTCTAGGAACCACTCCATTGTTCAGGAGGAGCTGATCCAGCTCACTGTCAGCACTTGATGGGGACTCAAGCCCTTTATAGGGCTAATCAGAGCATTCTTCCTTCCTGGCCTTAGCAATTGATTCAGAGATGGTAGGTTCCCAAGACAGGAATCAGAAACCTCCAGGGATTTTTTTTTTAATGCAGGAGCTATAGCAAAAGATGGTCCCTTTTACGTCAGTCAGAGAAAGACAAGTAACACATGATCTCACTTACATGTGGAAACTAATGAAAAAAATAAACTGACAAACAAAATAGACCCAGAGACACTGAAGCATGCAACAGACTGATGTTGGGAAGAGGTGAGCGAGAAGGGGTGGGTGGGAAGAAATTAACCGAGCTTATATGCATATATGCATAACCCATGGATACAGACAATAATGCAGTGAAAATACTACAAGTTATTCATTTTCGTGTCTAATTAAAATTCTAGTATTAGACATCCTATTAGTGTACATTTGCACTGCTTGACTATTGTGAGCACTGATCCTAGGACAACTTTAATACATGATTTTGGTGTACATGTACACAAATTTGACTAAAGTACCTATCTAGGAGTGGAACTGATGGGCATGCATATTTTTACCAGATAAAGCCACGCTGGTTTCCAAAGGAGTTGTGCCTAACATTTTTTTAAAAAACTCAATAGTTTTAAACATTCTGGATTATCCAAAAATAATCCTTTTTGCAGTTGGAAAGCTTCCATATATGCCGATATTAGTTTACATACAGTAATTTAACCCTAAGAAGGAGCATGATATTCTAAAGGTCTAAAAAAGTATATGTTTCATAAGAAAAATTCAAAGCCACTTGACAGTAAATATGTTACAAAAATATATTTGGTTAAAAATTATCTAAAATATTTTATATGATTTTTTAGAGTAAATGAAGCATATAAAAAGAAAGTATTATATTTCCAATTAAGCAAAGACTAACAGCATAATGGCCAAGTTGCTGATTACTACTGCATATTTAACTTCAAAGGCAGGTGAACATATACTGATCACAAGCAATCTATACTATAACACTCTTCTCCTACTGTAAATGATGAGTTTCCTATAATTTAATCAATCATAGATACAACAGCATCTACTGTGATAAACAGTTAATTCTTCTGCTGTTTAAAGTACAACAAGTACTTTCAAAGCTACTATCAAAGCTCTGGAAATTTCCAAGCAGGAAGGTAATTATTTCCTAAAACTACTTAGACATGGAAAAATGTAAAAATGTAAAAATTCTAAACTTTTGTTTTTGGACATACTTTCATTTTGGGTCTTTCTTTCTTCTTAGGCAGTGAAATATAAATGACCATGGGGGAGGAAAAGACAGCATTCCAAAAGAAGCAGGTTCTGACAATGATTAATGCGGAGCTGCCAAAGGATGTCTGGCAGCAAAAAGAAGCAAAAGCTTATGTAAGTGATAAAAAATTAGTGAGGCCCTAATAACATATCTCCCTAGAACCTGAGATAGTGTATTTGATGAATTGTTTAAGCTAGACTGTATTCTTCTACCTATTTAAATTATGGAGGCAAAAATATGGAAGAAAAAATTACAGTTAATTTTTCTTATTCAAATTGGTTAATGGGCTGGGTTAGTCAGTTAATGGAATATGCTGATTAACAGAAATATCTCACATACTGTCAATTAAAAATTACAGTATGTTTTTCCTTAACACTGTGCTGAATATTAGTTCATCTTTCCTCGAAGATTCTGAAGGCATTTCTGTATTTCCAGTTACTTATAAGCCATAGAAGAACTGCATAATTTTAATGCAGAAAGCATACAAGCCTGGACTGAATTTCTGTCCATCTTGTGGCACACATTAAAAGCAATTTTGTTGAGTAAGTTTATAATGGCCGACTCGCCATGTGACCCTTAGAGGAGGAGAGGAGACCATGAAGAAAAGAATCCTGGGTACTTGAATTTTCTGACAATCTGTTCACTATTCTCTCTTTTTACTCAGGGGAGGTGTTTCTAAACAAATATGAACTCCCAAGTAGCTAAACCTCTGCTAAATCTCAGAACAGATCTCTCAGAGAACTCAAAATAAAATTCATCATCTACTCCTAACTCTTTTTCTTCATTCGATCTCAATGGATGCATTTTTTTTTCTATCTCAGCTCAAAATACCATAATTCATCCAGTCACCAAAGCTAGAAAACTAGACATGCTACCTTTGACCCCTCCTTGCCAATCCATCCATAAAACCTACCAATTTTGCCTCCTGCTTGTTTCTTAATTCTGTTTCTCTTTCTCTGGGTCTCAGCACCATTTACATTGATATTTCCTGCTCTCTCTGATGCTCATTTTGTTCAGTTCCACCTGCTATACAGTTAATAAAGAATGTACCTGAAGTGAACGTCTGACTGCCATTCCCACATCACACCAATCAATGGTTCCTTCTTAGCTTTAGAATAAAGCTCATATTTTTTGACATGATTATAAAACCTTCATAATTTGGTGCCTGCCCATCTGACTAGTCTTACCTCACACCTCTCCCTGCATACAATTCCTACAGTAACTGTACAGAAACTGTAATTTCACATTGTTCCTCTTACATGCTGTGCCCTGTGTTTCCATACATGCATTCATGTTGTTCCTCTTGTTTGGCAGTCTCTACTTCCTCCCTTTCTCATCTCGCCTCCCCCAAGTTCAATTATTTATGTCTTGGCAAAGCTATCACCTCCTCCAGGAAGTCTTCCCTGAAAATTCTGGGTTAGGTAATTCTCTTTATTAGTCTCTTACTTTATGTATTGCTTTCACTAAGCACACTGTAAGTTCTCTATAAGTTCTTCAGTAAACATTAAAAAAATCAATAAAGACATAATAATAAAAATGATAAGTGTGCCTACATTCTCTGTGCCCCATCCTGGACTATGAGGCCTCTAAGAACACAAACCATAAATTATTCATATTTATAATCCTACCTCCTAACCCAGTACTAACAACAGATGCTCAAGAAATGTTCTGTTAAATGAAAGTGACTGAGAAGAGAGTATACAAAAATAAATCACAGAAAAGACAAAAGACCTCCTTGTCACAGTCCTTCATAATGGTCTGATCCCGCTCATATTTGGACAGTTACATTGACTTATTTAATTTTAGAGAGTTCTAGTTAAAAATAACTCAAAATAGGAAATTTATTCCCTTGTAGTCAACAAAATTAATGCTACTGAGAAATTGTCCTGTTCTTGACTTCAGACCTCTTCCTTGATCACCAACGGTATGTTCTAAAAAAGATATGCCGTGTGCAACCTCCATGGGTAAATGGAAAATAAGGAGGGGGGATAAACCCAAGTAGAAACTGAACTAAACCTGGCAGCACCATGCCATTTATCACATGGAAAATTACTTACATGCAGAAGCAATACAGCAGCAAGAAAAGACTGTCCTTGGCAGTACCCAATGTCTTCGTCGTAGACAGAGTAGGCCTGCAGAAAAGGTGAAGAGAGAAATCTCTTAAACATTCACAGGCTTTCACTGGGGAAACAGCTGTCATACCATTTAACTCAGGATTCATCTTTGTCTTCAGGGGAAAGGAAACAAGGTTGTACACTTAATATACACTAACTAGTACTTCAAACTGCTGGAGCATAACTTTTAAAGAAGATACCCATTAGAAGTTTTTAAGAAGTTGACTCAATTACAGTAGGCATGGGCTGCTCATCAAAAATAAAGAAAGGAGCTTTTTCTGTAAAAAACCAAAGAGTAAATATTTTTGGCTTTGAGGGACACATACATCTGTTACATATTGTTTTTTGAAACAATCCCTTAAAATACATAAAAACCATTTGTAGCTCAAGGGGGGTACAAAAGCAGGCAGCATGGGCGACAGTTTACTGACCCATTCAAGTGCTCTTTATACATTTGGTTTACAAGTCCATCGTTAGACTTTACTGCCTGTATTCCCCGCCCCCCTCCCGTCTGTGCCTGCCTATTCCTTTGTAATGGTATATTTTGAAGTCCTATAGTTCTCTTTAACCTTCTTCTGCTAATGATGATGTTATCACACTCTCTTCTAATGCGAGAAAAATTAGATCATGAAATCAGTACCTAATGAATCTGAAAGGAGCTTTTCTGCATTATCATCAGTTGCCAGAGCTCTACTGAATTTTAAAAATTAGAAGATGAATTAGCATTCTTTTACTTTTTAAATTTTCTTTGATTTATACAGCTATATTTCTGATTGCTTCATTTGTACTTTTATTCAGAGTTCATGGGTGTATATGTGTGTGTGCATTGTGTGTGTGTTAGGGGTTGGAAGGAGGACTGCAGACAGCGAGAACACAGAACAAAGCTGAAGAAAGAGGGAGAAGGTTCTATTACTATCCCAATTTGCAGCATTTCTGGTTGCTGCTGACACTGCTTTGCCATGAGCAAGGAACCCTGGGATTTGTTGATGACAGAGCATGTGTGTTACATGAGTGATAGATATTCAACGCTTCCCCTTCCCCATGAAAGATGTCTAAGTGGAGGATTACTCAAAACTCTGGATCTCCAGAAGTCAATCATTCTTCATCAACCCTGGCATCGCTTTGACAAATGTTGGACCCATCATTACATAAATATATTTAACATTTATCGAGAAGTGTGCTATTTATACGCTTGTTTGTGTTACAAGAGAAGTTCAATAAAAAATCAAGGTCACCAGCATTGCTCAGTGGTTAGAGCATCAACTCATGCACTGAAGGGTTGGGGGTTCAATTCCTGGTCAAGGGCATATACCTGGGTTGCAGGTTCAATCCTCAGCCCCAGTCAGGGCATGTGCAGGAGGCAACCAGTTGATGTGTCTCTCACATTTCTCCTCCCTCACCCCATTCTCTCTAAAAAGCAATGGAAATAATATCCTTAGGTAAGGATTAACAACAACAACAACAAAAAAGAAATCAAGGTCCACCACACATGAGACAGAGGAGGTATGAATTCAGCAACTGCACAGACTATTTTCTCACCAGAGAACTGAGGATAACTGCAAATCAGTAACGCATTCGTCTTACTTTCCACTTGTTTTATGGTTTTAGGTTAGGTTAGTAGGAAAAATGACTTTTCCGGAGGCCACCTACTAAATTGATTTTATGATTCACAGTTTGAAGCACAGTGTTCTAGCAAGTTCTTTTGCTTGGAGTTCTTCCAAGCACTGTTTGGCTTTAGTCTAAGCCTTCTCCAACTGAACTGAACCAAATCCTTTCCCTCTACTGAAAACTTGCCTCTCTTTGCACCAGACCTCTCCCCACTCCTCACTTTAATTGCTCCTCTGGCCAGATGCCTGCTCAGTCTGACTTTTAAAAACCATCTGGGTAGGCAGCACTTCTGTAATGGAGAAGTAGCTCCTGTTGGACCAACCTGCCCTCTGGAAACAAATTTAAACTATATCTGGACAAATTTATAAAACAAGTATGTGAAGACAATGAGGAGCTAAACAAACAAGAGAGGCAGAAACTAGAAGAGAGAATAAACTTGAAAGAAGGAAATGACACTGGGTAAGATTCTCACTCTGTTTGGCTTTTGCTGGAGGTCAGGCACCACCATCCGGTGGTAGGGACCACACTGGATGGCTAAAATTTGCATATAAAACTACAGTCTTATTGGCTTGAAGAAACAAAGGGCCATAACAGCTAGAAAGCAAGGGTGGAAATTCTGGAAGAGAGTAACAACAGAGAAGCCGTTACTATGCTTACTGTGAAGCTACAGTATTCATGACAGTGTGAAACTGATGTGAGGACAGAGAAATAAGGAGAGAATAAAGTGAGAACGCAGGAGGCCACTCGCAGATGACAAGCACAGGCTAAGTCTGATGAGAAATGGGATATTTACATATTTGGGGGGAGATCTCACACAAAATACTTATCAATTACAAAGAGAGAAAGGTAACTCCATAGTGCAGAAAGCTGGTAAACAACATCTATTTACAAGATCAAAGTGATCATCACCAGTAATGGAAAAACCGCGTGTGCTACCTGCGAGGAAGAAATAAGAATAGGTCATTTCCTCTGTGAGTGCTGCCAAAGATGTATAACGCGAATCCAACGGTGAGGAGACAGCAGACAAACCCAAACGGAGGGCCAGTCTAGAAACGACTTGCCTGTAATCTTCCAAAGTACCAAGGTCAAGAAAGTGATGGGAGGAGTGAGATACTGTCCCAGACAGAAGGAAATCAAGGAGGCAAAACAACAACAAATGAAATGTGCGATTCTGACCTAGATCCTTTTCTATAAAGAACATTATTTGGACAATTAATTGGTCTAAAGCTTAGACAGAAGCAATATATCAATGTTATATCATGATTCTGATGTTAAATTAAAGTTGTTTGGGAGAATATTCTTACTTGTTAGAAAACACCCGGAAGTACTTGGGGGTGCTGTGGTATCACGATGGCAAATCACTCTCAAATAGTGGAAAACACCAAAATCCTGTACTTATAACTTTCCTGTAAGTTTGAGATTGTTTAAAAACTATATAGACATGCACATATACATATATATATATCTGACAGAATCATTTTGTTGATTCTAATAATAAAAAATTGAGGCTTTAAAAAGGTTATTAGGTTTGTCCTATATGCTGGTAAAAGCAGAGTATCTACATGAGCTGTAAAAATAGGTTCAGTGACATGAAATAATCTAAATACTGGAGACGATAAACATAGAGGCTAGATGTACTCACAGATACTCACTCACAAAGCAATTTTCTTATCTAACATAGCTGGCAAACTTCCTAGATGTAACTTTCCTTTTATATAACACTTCAAAAAAAACGCCCTTGGCAACAATTTAAAACTGAACTGATATACTCAGGGTGTTTTTTTTATAAAAAGGAAATGTAAAATAACTAGACTACCATAACCTTAAAAAAATTTAATGTCTCTATTGGAAGTAAACTACTGTGTTATTATGGTAAATTACTCAGAGTGTTTCTTTTACATCCTTGGACTTGTTATTTAAAAAATAATAATACATAAAGGCCATCCTCAAGAAGTCTATAAAATTAGGCCCTGCTCTTAAGGAAATTATCCTGATTAATCTTTATGAATAAAATTACTTTAAAGAAGAAGAAAGTGATACAAATAGAGAGCTCTTTTAGGGTTCTATACATTACACTTTCATCTAAAATATCTGTATGACGACCATGAAAATGCACCTCCCAGATCTCCACCACTGGGGACATAATTGACCCAAGGTCCCCAATGCTGTGCTTTGAAACCCACTCCTACATTTGCACCTCTGCCGTACTTCCCATGGGCTGCTCCCAGCCAATGACTGGGCGCAGCAAGACCACATATGTAGGCCAGCTTCCGGCAGACGTGGCACCTCACAGTCAACTGTGGCTGAGGACTCCCCACTGGCTGTGCCAAACTTTCCTTAGAAGGACACTACAGTCTCAGCTACGTCCACCTAACTTTCCACCCTCTCTTATTCCCTTGGGGTCAGACTAGCACAGGAGTCCACGCTCTCCCAGCTCCCCCCCATTTTCTCTTACAAGCATTTCCCCTAATGTATGTCTTACATCTTTAATCCTGTCTTGGTGACAAGTTTCTTAGAGAACCTGGACTAACACTGTCAGTTCCATCCAGTCAAGACCGCTGAGTTAATTATATTGACACTAACTAGTACTGCACTCTGCTCTGAGACAAAGAAAAAAGTCAGACGTAGTCTCTTCCCTCAAAGACTGAACATACTGCAGAAAAGACTGAAGTGAAACTAATCAGGTAATGTTCAAAACCATCCATAATAATGGTCTAAATTTTAGAAAGTATTTTTAATCTGTAAATCACTGTGGGTAGAAGTGGGTAGGACAAGCTTCACAAGGGAAGTGGGCAACTAAGATCTGGACAGATGGGAAGGAGGAGGGAAGCAATTCAGATTCACACCCTTCCCAGGTCTTTAAAAGATGCAGGAAGAGGTCTGGTTAAGGAGGAGGCTTCAAAGTTATAAAGATATTGCCAACTGCATAATACTTAGTAAACAGGAAATAAGTCCCCATGATTCCATAACTAATTCACTCAGAAATAACTGCGAGTGTATTGTTTAGGATATTGAAGGCATCTGAATCTAGTATAGAAACAGATCTCTATGCTGTGAAAAACCATAAACGCAGGAGGCACCATGAGCAGCACTTTATTTGAAGGCTCCTTGTGTTATGTCTTCACAGTTAGTTTTGTTCTTCCTTTGTCTCTGTTTTAAAAAGTAACCTAACTTTTCTTCTCTTCCTCAAAGTAATGCTGCTTTATCAAAAGTTGCTATAATCAAGCCCTCAGGGCAAACACTAATCCCTGTGCTCTGATTTTAAACATCTTTATTACTCTCAGAACCCCACCCTTTCTCTTCTGTATTCCAGTCATGGTGTGATGGCTTCAATTAGCCTTTCTGTTGAAAGACCACAGGCTCCACAGAAACTACAAAGCTATTTCAAGGGAAGTGTATAGGACCAAGCA